AACGGAGCCCGACTCTCTCCCGAAGCGTTCCGAGCTTACCCGATGATAGTCCAATCGAATTTATAACTCCCGAGAATCATGTTGTTCCGGTCATACACAACACGGCGACAATCATTCAATCCCCGACACTCCAGAGGCCGTTGATAGTCGAAGTGAACGGAAGAACGAGTGACGAGTTGAGCGATTACGAGAACGACTCTGTCGTTCACGCGGAGCCGTACATTCACAAGGACGTGCATGTGAATCCGAAGATGACGCCGGTGGACGGGCGGCGGCCGCGCTCCGTCGACTACCCGTCGCGCACGGGGACTTCGCCCTCCAGCAGGGACAAGAGCTTCGAGGGTTCGCCGCTCGTCGCCAGCATCAACGGCGTCGAGTACCACCCCACCACCGAGGACCTCATGCTGTCCATGTTCCAGGAGTCCAAGTACATTGTACCGAGACACGGGAACCACGTCGCCGGAGAATCTCATAGGGCGGGTGAGTCGCTTAAATGTATTTTTATAAACAATTTTGGCAAGTGGCTCCAAAGAAAGTTAAACGACTTAAATGTTGATCGAAGTCTATGGTATAAATTAATGTGGTTAGTCAAATCAATTATATTGATAGTTAATAATATTTCTGCAATTCCTAATATATTCTTTGTATTTCAGGTGAAAAGTCTTCTGTTTGGAAAACTCGAATATCGACATGAGAGCAGAATCGCTCGCGCTCGGTGTGCGCCCGCCTTAACTACTACGTTGTTCAAATAGCCTTAGATCTGAAGGTGTTGTTTAGTTGACAGTTAGCTCGCGTCTGCAAGCGTTGTGTATCGTATTTCTTACAATAGTCATAGTTACAATACATTCGGTATTCGACATTCAACATTGGCGGTGATGGCAGCGGGGTATTGTAACATTCAAACTTTATGCCAGCTCGTAATTAGCTGCGAGTGTATGTCTGTATATGGATGGGTGCGGAGATGGGGAACTGTTTGGTGGGAGGGGGGGGGAGAATGCGAGGGCGAAACGTTTGCTCCCCCCGCCCTCTTCCCCGTACCTCCCTTTACCTCCCACCGATACCTAATCTTGTATTATGCGGAGCACCTCGTATGAAATTTCAAGCCGACATAAAGTTTGTATAGCGCTGTACCTTTATTTATGTGGAAAAAAGGGTAAAGGGTATATACACAATATTTTTATTGTTTCGGATGTTTGTATATATTTTCTATGAAAATACAGTTTACTAGTATTTTTCTTTTTGGATAGTATTGTTTGATATATTATGTGATTATTTTTTTTTGTTATTTATTTGTTGCTATTTAAAACATACTTAAGTTTTGTTAAACTTTATTTTTTTAATCTTATTTTTAGACGTTGGCTATGATTTTTATGAAAAGGTAACAACTTGTATGTTAAGTACTTGGTGATGAATCAGTTCACGATAAGTCTTTTATCGTATTTAGGTCATAGATGAAATTCCTAACTAATAAATGGACTATGACGCAAATTGGCAATTATTTTGGCAGTTTTTTTTGTGTAGTTGTAATAAGATTAGTGTCGGCACTTGTGTAGTTATTTGATGATGTTTGCCCGTTACTTGTCGCCGCCAATGTTTACCTCTAACTATGAGTTTCCACTGGCAAATACCCGTGAAAAAACATATTGTTATCTCTCACTCTGATAAAACAAAGATGATATGTTTTTGAGTATTTCAGCAGTGGAAATTCACAGTAATATTAGTGTTAAGTGAAATCATTTCAGTAATATAAGCCATGTCATTTCAGTATATCTTGTTTCAAAATTAATGTAAGAAATGCAAACCGTGGGTTTCTGAGTTCGAAATCTCCGTTTAAAACATATTGTTATCTCTGTTTTATCAAAGATAAAAGACAGGGATGACAATATATTTTATACTCAAATTTTCGTTTCAGAAACCCATGGTTAATCCAGCAATTTACTTGGACATTGTGGAACAGACCCTTAATGTAATATTTTACAACAGAAACACGCCTGTTAGTAAACACTTGATTTTTTCAAAGAAGAAAAGATTATGTCCTGTCCTTTTATATCTCATTTTACCTTTGTTTAGACTTAGTTTACAAGTAGATAGACTATAAAATGAAATCGATATAAAACATCTTACTATGAAGAGTTGTTGAATCCTGTCTACTTCTATTTTATTGACGGGCGTGTTTTATAAAAAAAAATGGTAAAAAAACAGTCGAATTGAAAACCTCTTTCTTTTTGAAGTCGGCTCAAAAAATAAACTCCCAAATTAAATAACAAAATGTACTAAAGTATTGCATAATTATTAATTTCAAAAATCTTTTCATACAATCATGTTTGTTTTCAGCCTATTATTTTTATAATACATAAATGTGGTTATGTTGTGTAACTAATTTCTATGTGAAATATAATTATAAATGTTATTATCACAAATACCACACTTGTGCCTTGGCTGTATATGTAGTTATATAAAGTGTCAAGAATTTTTAAAATTGTACAGTACTACATAAATCGGAATAGTTTCCGTATTGGTTGTGTAAATGTAATTAACACTTATCGTGGGTATCTGAGAGCAAAATCCTTGTATAAAACATATCGTTATCTCTCTTTTATCAAATATAATGAACGGGATGACGATATGTTTTAAACTGAATTTTTGGTTTCAGAAACCAACGATTAAATTACTAGTGTTCAAGTTTACACTAACTTTTTATTACGGAAGGTTACAAACCAATGACTTATGAAGTAGGTTTCCACTGTTGCAAAACTTGTACAAAAACGTGTTTTTTTTCTAATAGTATGATGTGGATACGTTTTTGTGTGTTTCGGCAGTGGGAACAGACGGTTAGACTTGATATCCCATACGATAGTCGTAATATTTCCAATAATATTTAAAATGGATGGATATATAACACAGATTAGATCATAAGGTAATGTGGAATCGAAACTGGCAACATTTAAATTTTTTATTCAGTTTTGCAATTTAATTTCATTTTTTTGAACGTTTCAAGGAATGTGTTTTAAAATCGATTTTGATAAAAATTTGATGTTGTTAGTTTTAATTCAACATACTATGACTTAGTAATGTAAATATATGGCCTTTATATATTTTACAGCCTAATTTATTCGATTTTGTACCGAGACGATATTGGATTGGGATAAAATAATGTAAATATTGTATGCACATGGACTAACAGCACTCAATGTGATATTTGTATTGTGTGTGTGAGCTTTGTGAAATTATAAATTGACCTTGATGGCAATATTTAGGAATTTGAAATTGTTCAAAAACCTAACGGTGGGCTTACACTGCAGAAGTACATCATTATCTTGATATTCATATTAAACTTCTTTGAAAAACAAAGATAATAAAATATTTTTGTGTGTCTTTCTGCAATGGAAACTCACGGTTATAAATGAAAGAATTTATCACATTAAACAGATTTAATGATCAGAATATTAAATTAATCAGATGATTTGGTTAACATTTAGATTATTTGATTTAACAAATAGAATATATTACATTTCCTAAATACAACTGTTTTTAATGTTCACTGACAAAGCTCACATATAAAAGAAAATGTATACTTATAAAAGACACTTAATTTATGCAAGGATAAAGTCACGGTTTTATTTTTTATTTATATTTTATTGGCCCGTTTGAAACAGATTCAATACCCCTTTTCCACTAAGCTCGCCGCGAGTGACTGAAAATAGCAGTTTAGTGCGGATATTGCCTAGTGGAAAAAGGGTTTTAGAAATGGCTCGGTGCTTATCTTATTGATGTGGCCTCTACCATCTTCGATCTCAAGAGCTAAAGAATCGTGGTAACTACTGTTTAACCACTATAAATATAATTTTTGTTTTATATAGTTTTAGTTTTATAGTAGTATTTATTTATTACAAAAATATATGTTAATATCGGGCCTTTTAGATACAGTTTTGGTATGAAGTGATGGATGTGGGAGTGATGTATTTTGATTGCATTGCGCTTCCAATTTCTTATACATTTACATTGTATACTTATAGGAGTAAATGACTGGCTCTCAATAATTTATTATCTTGTTAAACAGATGTAAGCGGCCTAATGTGCAGCAGATATATGTACGATGCGATGTTTGATTTCATTTCATTTACAATTTTAACTTATTTATTGTCATATTTTTTCATACATATTACTTTATTACGTAATATATGAGTGCTTTAATTCTCAAATTGACTACATGACGTACCCCTATATGAAAACTTAAAATCGAAATAGTTTGCCTTTTCAAATTCCCGTAACCAATATCAACATGGTGATATATGATGTAACAATACTGCCAACCGTTTAAAAATTATTCAGGTTTTTAATATTTAATAAAAAATTGAAATAAGTTAATCCAACATCTTCCACAAAAATTACTTTTGAATATGTATTGTTTTTTTCTCCATTTCTTAAAAAAACTGTTGAGTTCATATAGGGATGCGATATTTTAATGGTTTAATTTAAAAAAAGATAGAAATTATCTTTTTAAAATTGTTTATAAATTATCTACATACTATTCGAGTTTATTATTAAGTGGCACCCTTATTTTAAATTAAAAACTTATATTATTACTGCAGTAAAAAGGGTGTTGGATTTGTTAATTAGATCACTCGTATTTTGTGTATGTTATTAAAATTTATATGCGTTTACTTTATTGCGTAGTACCTTGGTATATGTAAGGTAAGATGTACGCAGTTACTATAGATTATTTGCTTTATATTGTTTTGAAATAGTTCCATAGTTTACTTAAAATATTCTCGTTCTTTCTGCGAATATCCTTAGCTATTACGTTCGTTGTTTTAATTTAAAAGAATGTTTATTTTACTGCAACACGTTATGTTAAATATATAAGTGTTATGTGCACCTCCATCTTGTTTTGTTTTAACCCTTTTTTTCTTTTAATATTTTAGAGTGCATAGACTGAAAATATTTTCATCTTTCTTCTTCCCTTTGAAAAAACTGTGACAACAGTAAGAAAACACATATTACAGTTGTATACATATATTGCGAATTGCATTAGAAAACATAAAACGGTTAAAAATGTGAATTAGGTTATCGGAAACATCAATAATATTTCTGGCATAAAAATAGGTACATGGACAGGTAATTTATTGTGGGTTGTTACCGTGGGAGTTCGCTATAAATTAATATTGAGTTATAAAATTGTTGCAAATTTTGTTACATCCTGTATATTAAAGTTTACATAACATGTTATGAACAAATCAAACCTGACCAATAAATGTTAATTTATGATAGGTTGCTTTTGTTTCTAGTACTGTTTCCGCGTAATTGGTATCCAATACGAGAAGTGAGTATTTTAGGGGGTCACTTGTAACAGAGGTAGGGACCATTTGGGGGCCCGCTGAATGTATGTTTATGAGGTTGGAGTACGGCTTCTGAATATCCCAGGATAGAACATCTGCACATTCCGAATGGCGTAAGTATAAATGGTGAGCATCAAAGCCGAGAAGAAATACTGGCTTTTCTTTTTCACCAATCACTGAAAAAACAATAATTAATTTCGTTGTTAATCTATAAAACATATAATGTCTGTATGTTTCATCTAAGAATTCCTTAGAATATTATCTTGCAAAACTATATCTTAAATCTAATTTAAATAAAAAAAACGTATCAGTATCCGGAAACTAGTCTGGTAATTATACAATTGTTCCGAAAGTTTTGTTTCTGTATAAATATCACGATTGTCGCATTAATTAATATACAAACAACGTTTAATATTCTGGTGTTTACATACATTAAATATACAAAGCTAATAAAATTGAATATAAATGTATATGAAACAGGATCACGTAATTTTCACCAGTTCTTTGTTACTAAGTGCAAGAAGTTAGGTAATTTAAACGTTCCTCAATAACATATGTTCTCGGACTACTATTACTTATATGTAATATGTATTGTTATTCTTTTTTAAATGTATGTTGAAACATAAATCATATTCACAATTAATATCAGCCAAAACAAGAATCGATTACATCAAACATGATCCCAGTAAGGTTTTATGACTGTCAGGTTTTATTGCACAAACTAACGACACAAACGAAATGCATCCATTTATCACAAGCAACATTCGTTTACAGATATGTCGAAATAGAGAAGAAGGAAAGGATTTAAATAACGGCACTTATTAAGACATGCCAAATTCCTTTACACCGTGGTCCTTCGTGACGTCGGCACTGATTTGGCCTTGGCTATTTATAGTTATGTTAGACAGCAATAGACGTTTTCATAACTAAATTGTTTTTAATTTCTTAAATTAATACAAGGATCTTACCAGTTAAAGGTGAATTGCACATTTTTCTTTTCAACATTGCTGTATCCAATTCCAGTACGCCTCTATGATGTATTCTGATGAGCATCAGAGAATTGTGTAAAGGTCCTTTCTTTACCAGAGCCAGCTGTATGCCGATTGCAGGATCACAGGCCAGAACTGACCAGCCATCGTTACTTGACACTTCATGGACAATGATCGCACCACGCGATGCATCTGAAATGTAACTACAGAAGCACAATATCAAAGTTAAGTATGTATACTAAAATAAACAGATGTACAGTAATCTGCATACATTTACACAACTTTGAAAACTTGTGTAAGCCATTTGAGCAAAACTTATGATCATTAAATGGGAATCCCTAAGTGTAAATTTCTGTTGCAAATCTACGGTAAAGGACCGTCTTTAGTGTAGATTTGTATTGGAAATCCGATTAGTGCACCATTACTATTTAGCGACCCTGTTATTGGCAACAAGCGTAGAATTATTTCGAAATAACCGTTAATTAAAAATAAACGATCGTTTTATTGATTTAAACGTGTTATGTATTAGTAATTAAAATAATAAACTGTAGATAATATGTCTCTCTTTGTAAGGATATAAAAATTACGATAGCTCGGTTTCGTAATCGGATTAGACGATTTCTAATATAAGAGATAGTTAACTTATTTAAATTCGCTCAGCGCGCTGCACGCGAAATTTATTCTGAAACAAGTTTACTTTAAAAATATCATGTTTATGTACAAGACGTTACGTGTATACACACAAACATTAAATGATTTAAATTAATTCCATATAGATTTTTTTTTATTATTTATGAGAGCTACATAACAGGCAAACTAACAAACTTTGTTAATGTACTTACATGTAGACGTTTCATATTCTATATTTAAAATAATAAAAATATATAAATGTAATATTATACTTACATGAATGGACCAGTAATAGTGTATTCGACGACAATGTTTTGCAATTGCGACATGGGCTCCACTGTCGAGGTCAGCTTGATCGTCTTCGTCACCTTCTTCAGAACGACATTGATGACCACGACTTTAGGAGGGCAAGTACATCTTGGGTTGTCTATGGTGTCAACGATGCCGCTGTCTAGGACCCAAAGGTTGCCCTAAAGATGATTTAAATTATAAAGTTGTAATGTTTTTTAAGTAAATTGGATATGTATCATGCGATGGTTAAAACTGAACACTATTTTCACACTTTTTCGTGTTTATGAAGCCGATAACTCGTTAACGTGTGTTTCTATTGTTAAAACTCATAAATAAACTTTTTATTCTTGTTTTTCAAAGAGAATAAAGGCGAGGAAAATATGTGTTTAATAACTGAGGATACATATATTTACATGTAATAATTTTACAAGATCTTGTCTACGCAACTGTCGCTCGTGCGGAAACATATGACGTAAGATACTTGTGCCTATTTGTCACATATGTCATGGTTAAGTAATCATTATAAATCATTATACGTTTAATATCAAATTACAATGTGAATTTACATGTAGGTAGACTTTCTCGAATGGAAACTTCATAACTTGCCTACGACTACTGACTAGATGTTAAAAATTAGTTATAGTTCCTGTTGTATCGAATTGTGCAGGATATAATTTTCCGCTTTACTTAATCTACCTACTGAATTGAATTATATGACACATCAATCATAAACATAATGTTGTAATAGTTTTAAAATTATTGAGTAAGACATATTTACTGTCTCTTAATAAAAGAAAAAACCTTTTGAATGTAAAGCACTAAAACACAAGGTGCAATTTGAAAGCACGATTTCGTAAGTCCGTCACAAAGTCTAGACTAAAGATAATTAAGTCTATGATTTAGGCTATCACTCTTTGATCAGTTCTAGTTGTTTTATTTTTGTGCAATATATTTTAATAATATTTGTTTTTACTGTTTCTAACCGTGCACCAATGTAAAGTGCTATTAAGTTCCTTGGCCTGGACTACAAGACAAGAGTTATTTTCAGTCTTTTTAATATGAAAGGGGATGAAAGAAAAGAGGATGGACGACTCAACTCACTCACCAGACGAAACAAAAGTATTAAATTACGAGATATTGTTATTCCGTGAGATTTTCTTTTCAACAACGACATTGATAATTATAAAGATTGTTATGATATTTTAAATTCATTAGGCGATTATTATTACCAAAATTAGTTCACAATTTAATAAAATAACGTTAAAGAGTGAGAGGTTGACAGTGATCATTACTAGAGCATTCGAGAAAATTGTCGTTCCGTTAAAACAATAGTCGGTAAAAATTACACGCGCGTATTTTATTTGAGGTCGTCGAGTGCATACAAACTGGTCATGTGCACCTTTCTTTGTGTTACCATATAATTTAACTTTCAATGGCAATTTTCACAGAATAAAACGTAATATTTACTACCTTATTAATTTTGTGTAGCATAATTTAAGTGATTATAAAACCAATAACGGAGTTTTAATATTATTAAATTTTTTTGAACTTGTTTTTTTTTATTTTGTAATGAAGAAAAAAAAACTCGGTAGTTATGTATAAACCTACCGTAGTTTATTATTAAGCTTGATTTACAGTTAATTTTAAAATATTTGGGCAACCATCTCAGATAGGAATCAAAGTTTTTGTTCTTCATTTTTTTTATCCAGATAAAAAGTATTTTTAGAATCATGCTAAAAATAATTTGCATAACATTGTAATTGAATATATGTGTCAGAATGTTGCGCAAAAGTTTATTCTTATATTGTTACTGCTACACATTAGGTATTTTATTACGCAACAAGTTCAACTTGACTTTTGTCGCAATAACCACTTGCACTTATCTTTCAGTTTGCATAAAATGATACTAAAAATAAAACTTTTATCTACGCTGTAATTGTTTCCCTCTATATTTAAGTTTTAAATAAATATAATGGCAATTAAAGCTGCAATAATGATTATGTACTTATTTTGGAAACCAATCATTTAGGTATACGTTTTGTTTTATTATGTTATATTATAAATTTAGACCACAAATCCTTCGGACAAGAGAATAAATTCAATCTAATGAATAAAAAAAAAAAATGAAGGGCTACTTAATAGTGTTTATACATTGTTCTACCGATGAAAGTCAGTGTAACTACTTCTTTGTCTACATTCCAATCAGATGGGTGATTATATTAATAAGAATGTCTTCTGCCTGTCCGCAACTAACACCGAGTAGTAGACAGTACAATACTGTCTTGATAGTAAGTACATGTTCTAACAGTAGCGATACTGTACTGTCTCTACTCTTCTGCTCTTGCGTAAATCTATTTATGCATCTACTTGATTTTAATTGACGGAAATAAACAGAAAAACTTTGTATCTTAAAGCTTAAATGGCTTTATCCGACCAGTTGTTGTTTAAGGAAATACAAAAACCTAATTTGCTTGACTTACATACTACATTAACCACCTCTCGCGATGCCAAAAATAGCCAAGTATGCAACGATTAAGACCATTTTAATTTACAGAAAGGTTACTGGTATACTTATAAAGTTTACGAAATAAAATAATTCATTTTATACCCTATTAAAATTAAAATATTTTTTGTGTTTTAATGTACATTAATATTTAATATACAAAAACATTGTTACATACTTTTTAGAGGGAAGTCAAAATGTTTTTACACATGCATTTAAATGCAGCACACGATTAGTTAATTCAGTAAATTATGGACCAATTGACATTCGCAACTTATTGGTTGCCCAAGACGAAGGTTAGCCTTTGTTTCTAAAACTAGTCCTATTAAATTCGCATCGACTCGCCTCTAACCCACATTCAAGAAATTATATACATACTGTATATTGTATTGTTATAGGACGTAAGCTGTAGTTTACTTTGTTTTCATTAGATTTAGTGTTTGACTGGAATAGCACTTCTGAAAAGAGAATGATCATTCTAAAAACTCTTTAAAATCTCTCTCTCTTTGTAAATGACTCATTTCCAATGTAATAATCTAAGAACTGCACAGTTAAAGTGTTATAATGTTGCCTACACACGTATGTATTCCGTCTGTTCAGTTTACACTGAACACTTGGAATGTTTAGTTTAAAATTGAACGTATCTAGCCAGCTTAATATCATGCAATACCGTCGATATTTGGATGGAATGCAAAACTTGCATTTAAATACGTGTATAATTTCCGATTATGTCATTCAGACTGGATTATTAAAATCTAAATTTAATAAATTATAAGAGAGTTTGATTGACATGTTAAATATAGATTAAAAAATAATAACCTTCATGTTATTAGAACGCCTTTAATATTTGCATTGAGAACTAGTTTTATTTTTAATATTTGACCTGGATAGACTGAGTTAATCATTTAGTATTTATACTTATATCTAAAATACCTTTCACCTGCAATGTTTGTTAATTAAACAATTTAAAAAGATTTGTTACAGTTTCAAGCGTTGGCGTCGGTTGCATGAATATTAATGATTTTTCGTATAATGAGTTATAAATGCAATTATCTTTGCATTTAACACAAACATACTCACTTATTAAATAGTTCAATGAAAATATAATATATAAAATTATGAATATTCTAACAACAAAAATATTTTGTTTCTTATCTATTTCTCCTTATCCCTGCCTATTATAAACATAATTGCGTTTTTTTTATATTAAACATTTATAGTTTTAATAATATTTTTTATACTATTCAGATATTTAAACTGAATTGTAACTGATATTTTCGTCGGCCGCGAGCCGTAGGAAATAAATTCAGGGTCACATTAACCATTAAATGGCAATTTTAATTTGAAAGAAAAGGCATATTGTGTTACAGTCAAGACTGGTAGGCGATTGTCGATTCTCATGTACATACTTTATTATTTTTGGTACAATATATACCTTCTTTGATTTTCCTACGTAATCATGTTGACAATTATAAGGGTTAGAGGTGCATGATATCTTACCAAATGGTCAAGATGACAATCAACTGCGTTTTGTATCGCGTCGCAGTTAGCTAGCGCGTGGTCTGTGATACTGGGAAACGCGTCAAGTTCCACCCCGTGACGCCCGTTGATAATCTGCCATACTGTTGCTAGCACACCTCGCTTTAGTCTAGAAAAGAAAATAGAGAAGTAGATTGTAATATTATTTGCTTACTTATGGTTTCCTATTGGACCTTCGAACCCTTATAGGATATCGTTAGAGTCAAAAGGGTTATGTAAGTATCTCTCGAAGATATTATAAAAGTATTTTTGTTTCCTTCCTTTCCTTTATTTTGTTAGTTCATAAAGCCCTTTGTACTCTCACATTATTAATTTCACCATTTAGGCAATTGCACGAACTGACCTTGTAGGTACCAATAAATTTAAACTTTTAAACCTTGACTCCGACAAAAGAAACATTTTGCAAATGTACAACTGATACAATGACAAGTGTCAAATAAATTACTTCCAACACATAAAACAATAATTAAAAATGTAAAAGTAATAATTTCTTATAAAAAATAACAACTAATATAAAATAACCTCAAATAATATTGGACTTTTCTTCAAGCCGTTTGACTAGCAGGAATCAATTTCTAAAAACTATCTTAAAATTAAACAAATAAATTTCACGGTTTTCAGTGACAATATTGCAAAATTTGAACTGTTAGCAGAGAAGATATACATGTACCTTACCTTGGAGTGATTACATAAATATTATCGTTGAAAGAAACTGCTTTAATAGCGATTACATTATCTTTTATGTATTTACCGCCGTGAGCCCAGAAGTCTACACCATGTTCACATTCACAATGTAAGGGACCACCGCTCCACGCTACATTCTTAGGATGTCCTCTAACTTTACATACACAATATATAATTAATATGAAAAAAATGTCATTTTTATAAAAAAGCATTTTAAATGTTCTTCACACTTTTGTCTTTCGCTTGTAATTAATTGAATTGTCCCCATCGATATGAATCATATTGTCAAAATTGCAAATGAAGGCATACTGAGAAATATGAAATGCTTACATTTTTAATGATTTAGTAATCGTGAATTTCTACTGTCTCTGTTTTTCTTAGAGAGAACGAGGGAGATGGTAATATTACTGCTTATGGGCTTTAAACAAAGTGCGTTCATTAATCTTAAAGGCCGATAAAGCATCTGCGGTGGTTCCTCTGCTCTTTTGGATGTTTATAACTGAGGTTTAAAAACTGTAACAAAAACTTATGTCCAAACGCTTTTCTTATTGTCGTTACAGTATCTACTTCTTAGTCTATAACAACATTGATTTTTGCCATATGAATAACACCTAACGTGTAAATATAAGTGGAAGGAATTAATAGATTTTTGTCGACGTTTTTGGGGTTTTGTGAAATGACACTCACAGCAAAGTAGCAACAACAGATTCTGTTACCAACATTTAGCTGTCTAGTTTCTAATTTCAAATCGCAAATCATGTATAGTTTTAATTAATTAATTTTCTTTACCCGTTTTAAAAACGTGAAGTTAGGTAACGAATACATATATAGCTCAGGTGAAATGGTAACAAATCAATGAGATGATAATTCCGTTCCGGGCTAGTTGGTGCGCAATGCGAGACTTCCTACCCGCTGGGCTCGGCTCCAGTTTCCTGCCAGTCTCACAATCTATAACACAGTATAATGCTAATCAATAAAAAGACACAATCGACTGTGCCCTGGGAACCGCATTCTATTTGCTTTGTGGTATTTAGTTCGCGACTCTACACACACTATTAAGTAGACCTAACGCATGTTTATGATTCGGTTGAAATACGCGGTGAGCTATTTTTTTTTAATTTAATGTCATATGCGTTTATTCATATTGCAATTTTGATTCAACAAATTTTAATCAACTATAAATTATGTTACAAAAAAAAATCGTTCGATTACTCTTTCCTGGGTGTTTTGAACGTTACTGGAAATGGGTGTAAAGTCAATGCAGTGACACAAAGAAAGGGAATAAAAATTACTTCATTGTAAATTATATGGCAGCAGCTATATTGTAACTCTAATAAATTAAAAAGAAAGGCGGAAAATGATTAACGAAAACTAGATTTTGGATAGCAGTTTTTTTTGCAAAAATATTTGAGATTATCCTTCTTTATAAATTCTTAATGACAAACCACAATTTTAATACAATTTACATAAAAATCGATAACATATATTAAACGGAAACCATACTGTTTTGTCTTTACAAAGTAGTCTATATGAGTCTTATTATAAATTTTATTGACAATTCATGTCAATACTAAAACCGCAAATTACCGTCTCCATTACCGTAGCGGCCGCTTAATGGGTCTAAAAATAACTGCTATCAGATTCGGCAATAGGATCAGCTAGGGTGACCATGTGTTTTGAAATTTTATTAGTTCCAGCGCGCACTAATAATTTTCGTTCCGAAATGTAGTTAGCATCGAGCCGATGTAAAAATCCTGCGAAGAATTAGTGTACACTAGGCTTAAAATATAAGACGAAGACAATAGAATGTTAGCCTTATAAATAGAAAACTGACTAATGGATATTTATAACAAAAACTCCAATAACGTAATTATTACGATTGTTATGCACAATTCAAGTAGCTTAAGCTTAGTCAGGAATGGCTATTAATTTATGAAAAATAAATTAAATAAAGTTTTTTTTTGCAGTATGGCCGCACGCGTAGTTTACCTGCGTAATTTAAATACATAAAATATATTTATTTTAAGTTAATACTCACTGAAGTTGTTCATATTTTAAAAAAAATATTTGAACGAAAGTATCTAATAAAGTAGTTAGTATCCAACTAAACGAAAAATAAATATGTACTATATTTAAGTCAAAAAATCGACCAATTTATTGAGCTAATAATACATTCTTCAAGGTTATTTATTGACTTGTTTTAATTTAATGTGTCGAAAAACCTTAAAATAGAAATAAGTGTGTTTCCATGTATGCACATATACGTAAAGAGCGGAAATGAAAAGGTTAATTATAACTAGCTTTTGCCAGCACCTTCGTTACTGTAGAAGTATCGACTAATGTTACTCTCGCATACATTAGCTACTTTCTATTAAAAATCCCATCCAAATTAGACCAGCCGTTTCGGAGATTAATCGGAACAACCCGAACTTGCACAGATAATTTTATTTTTATATTTTTAAGTAACATAAATACGTCATTTGCATGATATTTGAAAATTTTATTACAATATTACATACAGACAATCCAATTATGTAAACTTTATAGATAGCTACGAGGTCGTTATTCGGGTGTTTGTCGAGACCATGAGACGTCAACTGCGATAAGCGTTTGTTTGTATGGCGCTTGCATGTGCATGGTGCAGGGTTGCTGCCACGCCTTTAGGATGGACCACTTTTACTTTCGAGCTGGTCGTGTGGAGAGGGGGCGGGTAAATTTGGCGCGCTCAGCCGCATGTTATTTCAGTAGTGATTGCGGGCGCCAGACGTTCGCGCCTTCTTGTGTTTGTTCGTACACGTGACCCCACACGCCGACGGACATTCGATAATTTACAGGTAAATATTAAACTCACATTGATAAAAATTTGATTGTTAACAAAAACTTTTTTTGTGTGAATGTGCCTTTATAATTTCTAAAATCCGTGATCTGGGATTGTCTTAATAATACATGTCATTATTTTTTTAAATTAAGCTTATTACGTATGATTATTTTTCCTTTAATGGATGTTGTTCTTGAGATAATCGAAATAAATATCATATTGAAAAATTTTAACCCAATCTTAAAAGTGAAGGAGATTGTATTACATATTTATATATCTTAAAGTATACTATTAAGCAACTTACACTGTATAAATAACTGTATCAATATCACCACCATAATGTTTTAATGCAAAGAGGTCATACGACAGTAAAAGCTGCGTTAAGCTTTTCGAGGATAATCAAGTCCAAATACTAACTAGCTTATAATAGCGGCCTATAGTATATAATGTATTTTAAATTACTCTCGATAATATATACCAAGACTAAAAAGTGCAGAAATATTTTGCTTTAAATTTGAATTATTTGGGCTTTTAAATTTATCCAGAGTTCTGTAATAATATAATAAAAAAGTACAGTTACATACATACATACAGTTCTTAATGTAGACATTTCATACTAATGCACCATAAGGGATGTGTTTAGGGTCTAATTACAACTCAGAGTGACAGTTAAATTTAGAATCAATACGACTTCCGATAGGGATATGGTTTAGCGGACCTGACTCACAAACATGATTTGAAAGTCCGCGTTCTTGCTGTACTGAGTCTAACGCTCGTCAACTTGTCAAGTTATTTCCCAACTTGAACATTATGACCTTTAACTAGCATAGATATTGTTTATCTTAGACAACATCCGGTCTTATTCACGACATGGAAATACATATAAAGGACTTTACTTAGGACTATACTTAGGTTTCGACAAGGTTGAAATCGACTGTTTTGGCTTAGAAGCCGAACCAAAACTTAACTTGGTTAGTCTAAGTAACCATTTTTATCTTTGCTAGGCTCTTCGGGCCGTCAGCGTGAAGTCAAATTGATGATAACCGTTCATAATAGGTGGTCTATTTTTAATCCTCACCATGTCTCGTAAACCATTGGTTTTCTCTCGATGCAAGTGTGTCTTTGTTTTTTAAACGGCTTTAATAAAGTTAGTATTCAACAATTTCACCGTATTTCCACTGCCAAAACACCCGCACATAACTATTGTCGTCCCTTTCTTTCTATTTGGAACATTAAGATAACAACAATACGGGTGTTTCAGAAAAGGAAGCTCACTATGAGCGTTGCAAATGACGACACTAGTCCATAGAAAAGTAAAATCCCTGAAAAATCCAACTGTCAAATCAAAGATATTATTCGCCATCGAATAATGCGGCATAAACAATAGTTCATTGTCTAATAATTTGCCAGTAATGTATTTACAAACATGAAGGAACAATGGGCGGGTAACAAGGGGAGGAAGTTGTTCTAAAGCTATGAACACATCGCGGTTTATAATAGTTATTACACTATACAGTGTCTAGGATTATAAATAAATCGCACACTTCGATAATAAGCAATGTCGTATCAATTACATAATCGTCTACATGCCTTCGAGGAAATACAAATAGATAGCTCAAATAAATAAAAGATGTGGTTATTTATTGTTTTTTTTTCTTGGAAGTCTAGTCTTTGGTATTACTTTTCTCCTCGATACAAAAAGACCTCTTTAAGATACGTGATATAGGTATCCAAGTTTAAACTACAGAGTACAGTGTGAATTTGATACATCATATTTAAATGTATGAATGCTTAAAAGTAAAAGTATTAAGTTTTATTTCCGCGGTTAGATAAGATAATTAATTAGGCGTAAGGTATTTAATTTTGCTTACATTATACCTATCAAATATATGTAATTAAACGGGTTAAAATAATAACACCATTAAAATAGTTAAAATTAAGTTGTGGGTCAAATATAAAAAATACTCAAGTATACCACCAATCATAAAAAAAAATGTAAACTATGTGGAAACTCACTGGAGTATTCAGTTCCCATAATTTTAAAATAATACGCGGTTACATTTAACAATTAAGTAAATTTTGATAATGCTTTTCACCCAGAAAAATAATAGCAATGAGTACCAATGCTTGATTCTATCGTAATTTACTACGCATCGGTGTAATTTGTAATTATCATAGTTAGTTAATAAATATTCCTAACATAAAATGTAAATTGTAAAATTACCCTTCCTGTTTAACTCGAAGTAATAAGGAACCTTAGAGGCCCGATATATCAGATACGGTATTAAGCTTATAAACGCCCCTAGTCATTTGTTAATGTCCGGGATTCTGGGTAAATTGTAAATTAATAACCTTTCATTACTTGTCTGCTTATGTCGATCAATACTCGACAGTTAGTAATGCTTGTTTCACACTGGGGTAAACCAGAAAGACAATCCAGTAGGATAGTGCAATATGGCTACTTTTTAAATTCTTAAGCCGATACATAACTTCACTTTAGATGTAAACTAACGGTTAGTTAACGTAACATCCGATGTCGCTTATCGAAAATTTAAAAATGTTCGAAATTGATAACAAATTCATTTCATTATTACGTGCTCATTACGTATAAATTTTGTCATTACTTTCGATTCCGCGTCCGCAAAGTTACAGCCAGTGTGCGTCTGCTCTACGTCTTTTCTGCCCTTGTGTGAAATTGACAAGTAAAAACGAATGACCGGAGGCCGGCTCAATTGAACGCATACGATTTGTAAACAGATTAAATCATTGTGTTGATCGAAATTTGTGTTACGAGCTGTATCACCTAGATTGTTACAAAACAATGTTTGTTCAGTTTATAATAACAGATAATTAGATGAACGTTTAAATAAGATGATTTATCGTATAGCTATTATGTTATATGTCAAATCTAAATTGCACTTTTAATTAATGACAAATTATTCTCTACAGTTAAACTAAGTTAAATAATTTTTAAATTCCAATGTACATTTTTTGTTTTTAAAACAAACATACAACCCACAGATTGTAAGAAACCAGATATAAAAATAATATTTCACTGTAAATATTACAGTTTGGGAGCAATAGTTTTTGTACGTAATTAAATTCATTACTTATCTATCAGTTTAATTATTTTTTTAGTAGTAAATCATATTACCGTCAGGTAGACGGTAATAATTAGATTCTGTAACGTAGAAAAGTGAAAATGGATGACAGAAACAGAAATTGATAATAAAGATTTTTCTCATATTTCTTAGAAACTTACGAGTTGTCTAAGTAACAACGCAACTTAACAATGTAAGTTTACATACTTTGTCATGATTGATCGAATAATAAAAAGAAAATTTTCTCACAATTGCTGGGAAAACGACTAATGGTTAAAGTGTCGACATCATAGTTGTATATTCATATCAGGCTATTTCTTGTCGATAAAAGTTGTCCCTAATAATAATTTTACAAGACTTCGAACACTAATTTTCTTTACGCTTTTTTATATCAGCAAAACTATAGGTAGTTGATGATTGCTCTTAGAGTGACAAATTATAGTTAAGTTTATTAAAAATAAACAAACTTAATACGTAGCCTATGTGGTTTTCAGACTATGTTCTCCTTCTGTGCCATATTTCATCGAGATCCGTTGAACTGTTCTGGAGATATCTTCATTAGAAGATGTTTATTAAAACATCCATCTAAACTTTCGCATTTATAATATTAGTTACATACCAAATAAAACACTATTCTTCCTATTTTAAACTAAGCTCTAACACTATTTTACTAAATAAATATAGCGGTGGGGTACATTTACGACATATTACCAAAGGCAACAAAAAAGAAAATCGGTCGAGGACTTATCAAAGCTATGTGACTACATAACTACCACAGTATTTCACACTACGCTAAAGTTCCTATAACAATTTAATCACACTTTTATCAAAAAAAATAAGATGGTATCCATCCTTAAATTTAAAAAAAACCGTTACGTTTTTGTTTTTTTTACAGTACTTTGTTTAATATCGTCATCGCTCTCATTCTGAAACAACGAATATGTTTCGGTACTGGAATTTCTGTATTAGAGTTTTAAACGATAAGTTCACGGACCTTTTCGGTTTTTGGACGCTTCACAAAAAAGGTTTAGCGAGAATTGAATCCAATTTGCTTTGTCATTTACTTTATTTTAGATGTATTTAGCCGTCGATAAACTTGGCTGTCTATACTAAATTTGATTGTTTATTTACATTGAACAGACTTCAAAAATGTGGGGAAGCTACACTAAATACCGGTGAAATATTTATTACTATAATAGATTTTTTAACCCGCGCGGACGAAGTCGGTAGCAACTGCTTGTTTAAGATAAAAAATTAGGCGTTCCTTTATCACCTTTATGATCATTCATCAATGAGTTGTGTATTCACAAAATCCTATACTATTATCTCGAAGAAAAGACCTTGACACGTGCTGGAATTTGATTTACACGTCAAACTTTTCTATTGAAGGCACATTGTTATTTAAAGTTATTGTTAAAACGGCTCGTGTAACATTGGTGTAAACTAAATGAATGTCACGGGGTTAGTGTCAGAGCAGTGAAAGTGTTGTCGAGTTTCTCTGCAGCGGACAGCGGACAGCGGCAGTGCGTGTGTTTCGGTCTCATTGTCGATGTGTTTCACGTTTTACACGTTTACTTAAAAACCAGATTCACTTTCGATCTCAACGTTTCTGTCCAGGAAAATATCTAAAACTTGTTACGTGTAAGCGAATGACGATACAAATGCAAATTAAGTTTGTTGTTCATTGTATAAGACATTTAGCGCTATTTATCTTTTTTTTTTAAATAAATGTCTAAAAAACTTTTCAACTTATCATCTTTATTTAAATAAATTTAGAACGAATACCATGTTTTTATCGGAATAGATTTATAATTTAATTAAATTATTTAATCGAGTGAAAAATACGCGATTAAAAATTTAAGCAAAAGTAATTAAACAAAAGTAACTGACTAATAAACTTTGATATTTCACCCAA